TGGTTTACCATCTTGTAGAAACCACATATTTCGCCTTACGTTTGATGACAATTCTTCCAATATATCAATAAAACCATTTTATAAAAAATGTAAATAAATCTCGTTATTCAAATTGCAAGGTAATTCGCATATCCGTAAAACATCATTCAAAATTCATATGTAAAATGCATGTCCTATGGTTTGGAACCATTGGTAATTATTTTTTACGGATATGCGAATTACTTTGCAATTTGAATCACGAGATTTATTTACATTTTTTATAAAATGGTTTTATTAATATATTAGAAGAATTGTCATCAAATTTAAGGCAAAATATGTGGTTTCTACAAGATGGTAAACCATTACATTACAGTGAAAGCGGAGTGAGACAGTATTTAAATACAACTTTCCTGAACATTAGATTGTTTGTAGTAGTCATATTTTTGCGGTGAGATATTAATATAATTATTTAATTCATAAACATTTCAAAAAATTACTTATTATTATACTTATAACACTTATAATCAATACTGCAGCAATTTCTTTAGAACCAATGACTCTATTTAATATGAGACGATATATTATCGAATGTATTGACAAATGAATTAAAGAAAATGGTGGACATACTGAACATTTACTTTGACAAAAAGTTTAATTTTATTTACTTTAACTATTTCTTAATTTGGTTTATAAATAAAATGTTTTGATTATGACTTTAATTTAATACAAAACGTCAAATGTTTGATGGAAAATCCAATTATTCTGTTATTTATCAAATCATATTATTTTATTCTACTGATATATTTATTTTATTTAATAATTCATTAAATATTAACTTCGTTAAAGGTATTTTATACCAAAATTCAGAAGTATTGATGTTTTTCTTTAATTTTCTTTCGTTGACTGGAGTAATTGCGATAAATCAGAATTATGTAGTTGATTCCTAAAATAAAATTATCTCGAAAAATGTTGAGTTTTGAAGATATTAACAAGTATACCTTTTTTTTGTTGAAATAACGTATCTTTAATATTTTTTATTAAAAATACCGGTAGCTTAAAGATCAAAAAAGTTATGTGCAAATAAATGCCACATACATGGCATATGTGGCGCCCTCTATCAGCTACATCAAAGTTTGCATCAAATTATAATTTCTGATATTTAATAGTACCCAGTTGTAAATTTTTATACATAAATGTTGACAAACGTAAAAGTTATAGCGAAAAATAAAATTTTAAATTTCCAGTTTAACACCCTGTATCTTTCTTAATATCAACATTTTATTAAAGCAACTTGACTTAAATCGTAATATTTTAAAGTGTAGAATCTACGGTTTCTTTTTGTACAATTACTTACGGACCACCCTGTATAATAGGCGATAATCTTTTTCTACTAGTGAAATATAAAACCTATTCTAGTTGTTTACAAGAGAGTTTAGAAGAACAAACCTTGTATGAAATTGACCACTTAAGGAGGCAAAGACATGGAGGCGATACGGAGGCGTTATGAAGTATAACATATAGATCCATAAAGTATTTGTGACTATTCAAAAGGCATTCAAGTCCATCGAATTATGTACAGTGTTAAACAGTACCTAGAAAATGAAAGAATCACTTCAAGATCCACAAACATCATAAAGCTATAGGAGAATGCAACCACATAACTACACCAAGTTTAGACACCAACCTGAACAAACTACAACGGCGAGTAAAACAAGGAAATACCATCTCGCTCAAACTTTTTAACCTTGCCCTTGAAGATATTTAAAAAAAAACTAAAATGGAATACAAAAGATACAAATACTGACTTAACTTACTTAACCTACCTCAGACTTGCCGATGACATCGTGGAATAAACACCAGATATGGAAAGCCTAAAATGAACTATTACAAAACAAAAGTAATAAGTAAAGAACAGATATAACACAAAATCATATCAAAGAAATCGTATGGACACTATGTACAATTAGGTCACGTCATCAAAGTAGGAAAACCAAATAACTAAAATGAGAATTTTTGCTGGCACATCTTATTGCGCAGGTCAGTACAACCGGTAATAGATTTTCGAAACCGTATATTGAACGATCATAAGTTGAGTTGGAACGCCAAAGAGACGGTACGATGAACGGTCCATTTTCAGTCGGAACGCATTTTATCCATTGCGCAGAAGCGTTACCGTACATTGTACGGTTTCTGGACGAGTTGGAACAGACCCATGCTGAAGATTTTACCTGTGCGGTTTTAGGTTCTACCGTTTAAAGGTCGATTCAGACACATCAGTCACGTCTCGTCACAGTGATTGCGCCGAACCGAACAATCCGTCATACAAAATATTCTTTAATACAAATATGTTGCCGGCATTCACACTCATCAGTTGACAAACAGTTTCCCAGCTGTCAGATAGTTGATAGTTCTGTGACCAAACAGGACCGGTTCGGCGCCGAGACTATGACGGGACCGATGTGTCTGAATCGACCTTTACTTGCAATGTGTGGCCGGAAGGTCAGTCCGTTCTTCAGTCCAGCAAATGTGTTCAAGGCGAGTATTTCACATCGAAGATCACAAGTATTTCAAAACCATTCGTAATTGAATTTATAGAGCTGTACAAATCTTTGCCGGCAATGTAAAAGATGAAAAGTAGGGAATATTCCGACAGAAATAAGAAAAATGAAGTATACGCTTTAAAACGTGATAAATGGCTTTACTTGTGTCTGGAATAAGGTTTGGAAATGGTTGGACAAGGTTTAATGGGATATTGATGTTGAAAACCTTAGATCCCTGTAAAGTCTACCAGTTGCTAAATATAGTAGACTCGCGATTATCCGAGCCCCTAGATTTACCAATTTTGCCTCGGTTTATCTTTTATAGTCGTATTTGTTGAATCACAATCTCGAGTAATAAAAAAAAGGTCAATGATCACAAGTTATATGGGCACTCCATTAAAAATTGGTCAAGCTGATCAAGCTTTAGGTCAAGCTGATGTCGAGTCGGTATTCTCAGAAATAGGTCACCGCCTTATTTCCAGAAATTTCTGTGCCGTGTTTTGTCTACAACTTCCTGTTCCTTTCGATGTACATCAGTGTGAATTGAACTACCGATTTATTTGCTGTCGTTCCGATCGTCAAATTATTTGTTTGCTGTCGTTCAGATCGTCAAATTAAGCTACTGCACGGTAAAATTTTCCTTTTATGTACTGTTTTGTGTATTTATTCGAGTTTATTAGTTTCGATTTCATAATTAATTTTTCATAAGTTGATTTTTGTGAGTGTAAGAAAGCATCTTTCTGTGCAATATGAGTAAAAAGGGGAAGAGATTAGTTGTATCTTTGGAAATAAAAGTGAATGCAATTAAGAGGTTGGAAAAGGATGAATTAATAAAGGAGGTTGCTTCAGATTTAGTCACACTCACAGAAGTGTGAGTGGTGGTAGTGGATTGACCGGAAGATTATAAAGAAAGGGGACCATGAACAAACTTCTGAGGCGTTGTTCTTGTGGTTTTCATGAATGAGAGGATTGGGCAGCCCAATAAGTGGTCCAATACTCCAAGCAACAGCTATTGAATTCCAGAAGAAGTTTATGGATGGAGGAGAAAACTTTTGTGCTAGTGAAGGATGGATTGACTTCTGGAAGAAGAAATATGGCATCAGACAATTGAATATTTGCGGCGAAAAACTCTCTGCTGTCTCAACTGAAATTGGAATATTTTATTTAAAATTACAAGACATTATATATATAGTTATAAGTTAGATGGACTTACTTCAGACCAAATATTTAACTGTGATGAGATAGGAATTGACTTTAAAATGCTTCCATCGAAAACACTAGCTGCTAAAAATGAAGGAACTGCACTAGGTTACAAAAAAAGCAAAGAGAGAGTCACAATCATGATTTGCAACAATGTTTCTGGTTCATTAAAATTAAAACCTCTTTTAATTGGAACATCCAGAAATCTAAGGGCATTCAAAAATGGCCAAATAAATTGCTTATCTACAATCTAGAGCAACCAAAGCAATGCATGGATGGTCTGTAACACTTTTAAGGACTGGTTTTTTAATGACTTCGTGCCAGTCATTGATGCCTACCTAATAAATAAAAATCTGCCTTGGAAAGCTTTGATGTTGTTGACAACGCACGATCCAGATGCGAGTGAATTGATTAGTGGTGATATACGAGCTGTGTTCCTTCCACCCAATGTGACGTCGTTGCGCAGTCCAGATTCTGCGTAGCTTTCACGTGTAGACAACGTACGGTATTCCGTTTTTTTGTTTCGTCATACCTGCACGGTGTTAAAATGCACAGTCAAAACGTAGTGTATAGCCTGGCCATTAAACTGTGACTGGATCAACAGATCATTTTGGCGCCAAATGAAAAATATTTTGAAATTAAATACTAATTTTTTTTTCGGTCTAAAAATATGGTTTATGAAAATTATAGTAGACTTAAGGATTATTGTAAAGGCATGATAGTACATAGTAAAAAAGAGTTATTATAATATGTCTACTATAATTATAGTATGTTGCTAACAGTGCGAGGAACAAGGCCCAGATATGCTTAAATCAGACATCCGACAAGGCTACAGTACAAACCGAACAATTTTTCGTATCTCATATGCCAGCAAGGTAACGGTACAAATCATCCAAGAGAGATTAAAAACCTAAAGCTAAAAAAATAAAAAATACCAGATCAGACGGAATTTACCAAAGGTATATGTACACGAGAGTATCATCCCTTTTAAGAATGAGACGAACAATCGAGGAACCAAGGGAATTCAATATTCCGTTTTATCTGCTCAAAAAACGAGATTAACCAAGTGAGTAATATTCCCAATGTTGGACACAGAGAATCGGAAAGGAGAAAGATACACCACTGAAATAGTCTGCTGAAGAAAAGTGTTATGAATTCCAAGTTCATAGAACAAAGAATTCGATTTTATAGAATACGATAACCCTTGCACTTCCTGTGGGGTGCCCAGCCTGATGAGTAGATCCATCGATAACTAGTGAATTAACTTAATCAATAACTTACTTTGTATTAAAAATTTTACTAACCTTCAAAATACTCTCCTTTTCGGCTATATCCTCCGAAGCTTTTTCCAAATTGAGATTATAGTCTTCTACAGTATTTTCAGTAATCACAGCATTAATATTCTCAGTCGATATGGTATTCAAATTTTCTTCCTCTACTTCTGATTTTTGTTCCTCCATTGGTTCTGTCGCAGTCTCGGCAGCAACTTCGTTATCCTCTTCTTGCAACATTTCCTCCTCGTTAACAACATCTTTTACTTCTACATCCTCAGTAGCCTCCGTGTACGGTTCTTCTGGTTCAAGTAGTTTTTCTTCTTCTTTAGGTCCGATTTCTGGTAAAACTTCTGGTTCTAAAATTGGTGCTTCAATATCTAATTGGTTTTCATCAACAGATTCTGACTGTAAATCTTCAACCATCGCCAATTTATCACATTCCATAGGTTCCGGGTCATCAACTTTAATATCAGATTCTGTGCTAACAGGCACTTCTAATTGCTGCTCCACCTCTGGGTAACTGTTACATTCAAGATTTACTTCTTCAACTTTTTCTGTCGTTTCAGGTTTTACTTCTTCAACTTTCTCTATCGTTTCAAGGTTTACTTCCTCGGTTGTCTCTGTCGTTTCAGGTTTTACTTCTTCAGCTTTCTCTGTCGTTTCAGGTTTTACTTCTTCTGAATTATTAATTAAAGTATCTTGGGTGATAATGTCTGTAGATTTAACTACGTCATCTACTATTTTTTCCTCAGTATCTAAATTTTCTGTAGGTTCTGTTACCGTTTCAGCAACATCAGTCACTGCCGTACAACACTCCTGAGTGTTTTCTATAAGAGGTGGAGCCTCGTCAGCAATTTTTTCACTGATTTCTGGTTCAATTATTAGACTATCTTTAATGATTGTTTCCGGTTTACCCTGTGACGGTGTTGAGCTCCTTTTGCCGTAAAATCGTGAGCTAACTACTGTTCCAACTTTAAATTTGGTACTCTTTTTTAGGTCTACTTCGTTAAAAGCTTGTTTCATTATATCTAGTAAAGCGTCCTTTTCCGGTAGAATATTAGTTGATTCTGTTTTTATAGTTACATTATTATAATTGGAATTAGTGTCTACTAGAGCTAAGCTATCAATTGGTCCATTAGAGGCAGTGCTTATGCTAGGCTTAGTATCAGTTTCATCTTTTAAGGCTTCGTTACTTTCAGTTCCGTGTACGGACGATAAGTCTGAAAAGCTACTATCTGACTCATAGCCTGATAATTTAAAACCTACTTCGCTACCCATTTCAGAACCTAGCCGTCTTCTTTTTTTCACTTCCAAGTCTAGTCCGTCTAATAAACCTAATTTTAATTTTCTCTGCTTTCCATTTCTTAGTATTCTGGCTGGGGAATCAGATCTTGTACTATACGGACTAGACCGATTACTAGTACCTTCTGGTTTTCCTTTCCGTTTCGCCCGTGGACTAAGGCTTCTGGGAAGATGATTAAAAATGTTAAGAGTATCAGTCGTATCCCCTTGGCTAAACGGACATTTTTCAATACTATGCCGCCTTCCGATGGCTCTGTTTTTCTTTTTTAACGTAGCTACATTCAGATCTAACATTTCTATTATTTTCTCAGCAGAGGAGTCAAATTTAACAGGAGCATTTTCTAAATTTTCTTTTTTGATTATATTACTGTTTAATAAATCTAACTTTATTTTCTTTATATTCTTTTTAGGTTTCGATATTATATCACTCTTGGAAGACTCGGACAAATCATCTGCTTCTACCTTGATATCCTCTGCTTTAATAAGAAACGATAAGTCCTTCATGACATCTTCTATTGTCTCCTTTTGAACCTTTGGCTTTCTACCACGCTTCTTTCCTTGTTTTGGAAGAGGTGGTACGTTGTTTGTATCTGTAGATGTTGGATTATCTTCCAATTCCACTTTAATAGCATTAACGTCCAACAATTCCGTGGTTTCGGATTGGGTTTTTTGTTTCTTAGGTCCTCGTTTCTTAGGTTGTTTCTTAACGTTCTCATCCAATGGAAATATCGGTTCTAAGACAGGCGGATTGTCCTCTAATTCTTTAACAACCTTCAATTTCTTTTTCCTGAACCGTTTTTCTTTTACACCGTTTTTAAGAAGTTTATTTTTGCTCTCTGCACTTTTAGTAGAGTGAAGCGCAGCTTTAGCTAGAGGGTTAAGTTTAAGTGGTTTTCTTCCTTTGGCTTTCAGCGTGACTCCTAGTAAAGGTTTTTTCACTATACTCTTAGGGATATTTTTGGCTATTCTTTTACCTATTGACTTGGGTGTACCGGCAGTTTTTGGTACGTCGGCCGTTGCTTCATTCTTCGATTGCGCCTTTTCCGACGCCACTACCTCCTTAGGTGAGGTCGCAGGAGCATTTTTTCTGTTAACTCTAGTTGCCATGACATTGGGATGGTTTCCTCAAAGACCTGTAAAAATAAAATAATACCAATTAAAATGTGGATAAATTATCAATGTCTATTGTTATAAATCTTGAAGTTTAAAATCTTTGGAATGTTTAAGAATATTTATTTGTTTATTTAATCAATAAACTTAAGATGCATTTCATAATTCATTACAACACTTACAATATTTACAATACAATATTAATTTACAAATTTATATTGATACTGAGGGAAAAATTAACTCATTCCAGATACCTATGTATCAAAGGATTGAGCTCTGGTGGGACTCTTTTCGTGTTATCCACCTCATACAAAAGTTATTATTTAGATCAGCGGTCCTCAAAGGGTCCATCGCGATCGACCGGTCGATTGCCAAAGTTTTTGAAGTTGATCGCGATTCACGGAGAAAATACGGGGATTGTCCAGACTCACTACACGTGCATGATCGAAATCATTATGATGCTATCTCTTTACCAGAAAGTTGCGATAATACCACTTCGACATATCAGCATTCACAGATAAATTATTTTTTTAAATATTTTAAACTGGGAGTGTGCTGTATCGGCATTGGATTGCTGGTAGTCAAGCATTAATCATCCATTACTAAGTTATTACTAGTAAAACATTTTAGTAATATATTATTTACATTAATATTTGAAACTCTATATGAGTACTGCGAAAAAGAGTAAACCATATCATTTTAATAAGTGTGTTTGTCTTGTTTCTCGGTCTTTCGTTGCTTTGCCCAAACGCGGAAATTTAGAACGGCATTATAAAACTTTGCATAAAAACTATGAAAATGATTTTTCGCAAAACAGTTTGTTTAGAAAATGGAAAGTGCAAGACTTGAAAAGTAGTTTGAAGACGGAACAATCAATGTTCACTAGGCCTGTTAAACAATCAGTAGCTGCAACGATTGCGTCGTTCAAAATGTTAAGACAGGAATATTACTCACTTGATTAATCTCGTTTTTTGTGCAGATAAAACGGGATATTGAATTCCCTTGGTTTCTCGATTGTTTGTCTTAATTCCGTCTGCTCTTCTGGTATTTTTTATTTCTTTGTGGTTTAGGTTTTTAATCACTCTTGGATGATTTGTACAGTTACTTTGCTGGCATATAAGATAAGACAAATTGTCTTGTCATTGTCTGGCTGTATTTGATTTGAGAGGGGGTGAAGACAACCATACTATAATTATAATAGACATTTTATAATATGTCACTAGAATATAACACAGATACACACTATCTCTTCGTCAACTTCAAAGCAGCCTATGACACTGTGAAAAGAAACTGCATTGTATAATGCAAGGATAGACTTTGGGATCCCATTTAAGTTAGTTAAGTTGACTCAACTAACCATGCAAAACGTAAGCTCATGCATTAGAATTGAAGGAGAAAGTTCTTTGACATTAATAATGGTCTAAGACGGAAGGGCGCGCTGGCTGTCTTCTCTTTAATATTGCCTTGGAAAAGGCAATCAGACAATTAAGTATTAGAATGAATGGAACTATTTTTAATAGATATTCGTAAATTCTCGCATTCACTGATGATATAGTATAGTCATACTGGGCAGAAGTATGAGAGACATGGTGCAGTGCTTTACAAGGGTTGCGGACGCGGCAAATGAATTAGGACTTGTGGTAAACTAAGAAAAAACCAAATATATGTTGGTTACTAAAAACTCCCGAAATATCCAACAAAGAATTCAAATTAACAACCATACCTTTGAGCAAGTCAAAGAATTCACATATATCTTGGATCGCTAGTAGACGCAACAAACACGACAAGCGACGAAATAAAAAGACGCATAGCAAACAGAACTGTTCACGGTTTTCAGAAACCAAGAGATTGGGGGTGTTACATGACAGTTCCTTGTCATTTATTCCCCACATCAACAATTTTATATGTCGAATAAAGTATAGGACAAGTCAGTAAGGTTTAAGCACTGACTGAGTATGTTAGGGTTTAGAAGATGAGTGAACTTTAACCCGGGAGTGGACTGGCGTGGTATATTGGCCCATCTTCTTCTTCTTCTTCTTCAGCCTGTGTTCGTCCACTGCTGGACATAGGCCTCTTCCATTTGCTTCCATCGATTTCTACTTTTGGCAATTCTCATCCACTGCTTGCCCGCGACTTGTTTGATATCGTCTGTCCACCTCTTCTGCGGTCTGCCTACTCCTCGCCTGTTCTCTCTTGGTCTCCAGTTTGTTAATCTTTGTGTCCATTTTTCGGGATTATCTCGGGCAACGTGTCCGACCCATTGCCACTTGAGCCTTGCAATACGTTCTGAGACATCAATAATTTTTGTTCTTTCACGAATGACGTTATTTCGAATCCTGTCTCTCAAACTAATCCCTAGCATGGCCCTCTCCATTGCTCTTTGGGTTGTACTGAGCTGCTCTAAGGTTTTCTTTGTGAAGGCCATGGTCTCCAGTCCATATGTAGTTACAGGCAAGATACATTTGTCATAAACTTTACGTTTTAGACACATTGGTATATCTTTATTCTTCAAAATAAAGCTTAATTTGCCGAAAGCTCCCCAAGACAGTTGTATGCGTCTTTTTATTTCGGCTATTTGATTTTCTTTGCCGATTTTAATGGTATGTCCAAGATATATATAGTGGTCTACATTTTCAAGACTGACGTTGTCAATAACAAGATTAGTTTGTAAATTACTCATTATTTTTGTTTTCTGCAGGTTCATTTTGAGACCTATTTTATTTGACTGCTGGTTTAATTCCTTCAACATTTGCTCCAGTTCCTTGATATCTGTACTAAATAATACTATGTCATCCGCAAACCTCAAATGACTCAAACGTACACCATCAATGTTTACACCTTTTTCCTCCCAGTCAAGCTGTTTGAATACATTTTCCAATGCTAAGGTAAAAAGCTTTGGTGAAATAGTATCACCTTGTCTAATACCTTTATCAAGGCGCATTTTTTCAGTTTTTTCGTCTTCATTGATTTTGATGTGGAATGTGGCCTGTTCATAAATGTTTTTAATGAGTGTAGTGTACCGTGAGTCTATTCGAGCATCCTTCAGGGCTGACAAAAAGGACCAAGTCTCAATACTATCGAAAGCCTTGTGAAAGTCGATAAATGCCATATGTAAAGGTACATTATATTCTGTGGTTTTTTCTACTAGTGTTCTGATGGTTTGTAAGTGATCATTAGCGCCAAACCCTTTTCTAAATCCCGCCTGTTCAACCGGTTGATATAAATCAAGTTTTTGTGTTATGCGGTTGGTTATTATTCTTGTTAACAATTTGTATAAGTGTGACAACAAACTAATAGGTCTGTAGTTTTCAATATTAGTAGTGTCTCCTTTCTTGTGTAAAAGTATTATTTCGGCGTTTTCCCATAGGCTGGGTATTCTTTTTTCTGTTAGACACTTATTCAGTAAGACTTCCACAACTTCTACAACGATGTTGCCGCCCATTTTTAACATTTCAGACGTTATACGATATTGGCCCATACAAGAATGAAAAACGATTGTATTTTAACTGCTATTTATATTACACAAATGACCTTTTTAGTACCATTCAATAATTGCTCACTAAAATTAAGAGTGATATTTTTGGAATAAATTTCTTTTTCGGGTTTGATTTATTTGAAAATATGTCCTAACAGACCCCACCCGTCCACTCGTGTTACTTTTGGAAGTTAAAATTCACATACTTGCATTTGTTTATGGCTTTAGGATGAAAGATTTAGGAATAAATATGCCAAAAGAAAATATGGGAAGGAGAGCTTTTAACCCTCATTTAGTTCGAGTTGTACGACAATCAGCGTGGTGCCTATCAAATACTTCTATACCAGGCCCATTAAAAGTGACCACCAATAAAAAAGGAAATTGCAAAAACTGTAAAAGGCTGAAGAGCTAAATACAACTTGAAGAGTTGAGTGTTTGGCAGATAACCAAGGCAAACCACTGTTAACTGTGAAAGAAAATTCTGCACTATTTCGTGCAGAATTCCTAAAACTTATGGATGAACAAGGAATAAAATGGATAACAACTGTATTCAACAACATATACGTAACTGGAAAAATAGCCCTAAGCTGGTTAAAGTCGACCTTCGTGACCATACAAAAAAAAGTAAATGCCAAGACAGGCGAAGACTACAGAACAATTAGCCTAATGAGCCACTTACTTAAAACGTTCTTGAAAGTGATACACGGCAGAATATATAAAAAATGCGAAGAACAAGTATCATGGAAGCAGTGTGGATTCCGCGACTCCTTAGGCACACGAGAGGCTCTATTCGCTGTCCAAGTGCTTATGCAAAGATACAGGGATGTTAACTGTGATGTGTATATTTGTTTTATCGACTACAAAAAGGCATTTGATAGAGTAAAGCATGATAAACTTATAAACATCTTGAAAGAAGTGGGGTTAGATGATAGGGACTTAAGAATCATCTATAATTTATATTACAACCAAACAGCCAATATTAAAGTGGATGACCAATTGACAGAGGCAGTCTCCATAAATAGAGGAGTGAGGCAAGGATGCATTCTATCCCCGGTGTTATTTAATATAAACTCTGAATATATCTTCGAGCGAGCGCTGGGAGAACTACAAGAAGGCGTATTAGTCAACGGAATGCGTCTAAACAACATTAGATGTGCCGACGACGCAGTAGTTTTTGCAGATAGTCTGGACGGTTTGCAAAGAATAATGTCGCGTACATCAGATATAAGTAGAGAACACGGACCTTATCTTAATACCAAGAAAACACAGTACATGGTAGTCAGTAAGCGCGAAATATTAAATACACAGCTTTTGGTTAACCAACATCCAATTGACAGAGTGAACAGCTACACATACCTTGGTACCAATATTAACAGCCAATGGGATCACTCCAGTGAAATAAAACAACGCATAGGAAAAGCGAGATCAGCGTTCATAATGATGAAGTCTCTTTTCAGAAGTCACGATTTACCACTTGCTAATAAAATCTCTCTCATTAGATGCTATGTATTTTCTACGTTAT